CGGCAGGGACGGCTGCCTAAAGTTTTTTAGGTGTTGTGACAAATTATAACGCCCCATAGGGAAAAACTGGTGCTGCAGAGTGACGTGCTTCGTCGTGACAAAGGTGAGGGGACGTTGTGCTCGCTGCTCCTGATCTGAGGGGTGCGTCCCAGGGAAGCTACAATACTCTTTACGCTTGGTATTAAAAATAGGTAGTGCCTACCTTGGCTTCAGAGTTGTTTTCTTCCCAGTGAATGAGCATCTTCAGGTATTGGATCCCTTTTATGGTGGAAAGGCTTGATGGTGAACCAGGAGACGTGCAAACTGCTGTTGGCCCAAATACATTAAAGTTGCTAAGATCCTGTTGTCACTAACAAAAATCTTGCAGAGCAGGCAAACATGTGAGTGATTTGGGGGTGGGAGGCTTCATGGGTTGACAGCCTGAGAATTAAACTCTCTACTGAACTGGAAATGAAATGCTTAATCTCCCCCCCCCCATAAAGGGCAGCAGTGTACGTTATTCTTACAGGTGGCCATCAAGAAGCAGAACAAAGTGCGTGTGGTGGGGTGGGAAGCCCTGCTCCCAGTCCTTTCTGGTCTCTGAGTGTGCTGCGTGTGTTGTCTTAGCTGCTGAGAAGGCTACAAAGGGGAGGGAGGAGAGGGAAGGCTTTCAGAGGCAGTAGCTGAAAGCACTTGCAGTCTAAGCTGGAAGTCGTTGAAGGTTCTTGTGTTCTTTAGCGATCTGAAGGGTTTAATGGAAGTACAGGAGTTTTATGATGAAAATGTACCTCAATGTGCTTGAAATGTCTGAGGGCAACTGCTGGCAGGCTTGATGCCTTTAGGTTTATGCTGTGTTGGAGCATTAAGAATTGAGTTTGAAGAAACCCTTGATTTGTCCAGGGCTAATCATTTTACAAATCACAGGTTTGTTTTGTGCCTACTGGAGCTGATGTGACTGACAGCAGCAGAGCTTGTAGTACAGCAGCTCATGATCAAGGGCAGAAATTGATTCATCAGGAGCATTTTTACCTTACTGTGAATGTTGTCTAGGATTTGACTCTCCTCTTCTGTGGAGGAGGTGACAGGTCAAATAAGCTGGTCAAAAAATGAAAAGCAGTAATGAAATGACAATAGCTGTTCCTTGAATCTTGCTTAAAAAGTGTTCCTTGCACTGTGATGCGTATTAGGAAACTATGATTGAATTTTAAACAACTCCTGGCAGGCAAGAGTTAACTGTCTTAAGTCTGACTGCTTTGGCCCTGGCAGCTGCATTCTTCACAAGTACTTGGGGCAGAGGGTGAGGCCTCAATTAGACTGTAGCTGTCAGGAAGCACCTGGCCACAATAGAAACCTGGAACACTTAAAAAGACAAAAGTGTATTAATACCAGTTGGAGTTGCGTGACTGTAGAACATATGTAAGTATCTACATACTTCAAAACAAGCCACTTAAGCAAAAGAGAATGATTTGGTAAACTGTGACAAGACTCCTTAACAAGTGCAAAAGTTCAGACAAGGCTGTGACTGAGTCTGGTCACTGAGTTTCTCAAGTCCTTAGTGTTAAAAAGCAACACTAAGATACGATATACATTATGTGAATGTATGCTAGCTCTTACAAGCTTGCTTGCCCTCCACAAATGAGCAGAGCAAAAGGTTGGGGCAAGCATTAATATTTCCAAAAAGGTGGTTTGATTATGCAGTGTAGCTGAAAAAGAGTAAAGAGTTGCTTACAAAGATCGGAGTGCAAGCTGAATAGTTATCTGACTGCAGATGAAATTCTGTCCAGGATGCTGAAGTGCTGTAGCTTTTTGCAAGAGCAAGATGGTATGAGTGGTAGATGCTGGGTGGTTGAAAAAGGAAAAACTATGAAAAGGAAGAAATCTTGTACCTCTGGCATAATTAAAGAGCTTTCAGTGGATTGGATGTCTGAGCCCTGAAACTAACACCTGAGTGTCTTCCACTGTTGTGTTATTTGGAGAGAACAGTTTGACCTTGATGTATATAATGAAACAAGTTTAGAGCTTAACTTTCAGAAGTGCTCTGCACTTATGGCTCATCTGGCTTCAGCTAGTGCTGCAGATGATCTTAAATTTAGGTAAAGCTTATGTATCATCTTCATTGACACAAACTGCTTTGCTGAAGTACTTAGCTCCACCTCACCAGAAAAGGGACAATGACAATTAAGTTTTTTGCCTGTACCAATAGAGCAGCTGTGTATAATTTCAGGTGAAAGGCTTCCTGATAGTCATTGGTACGTAGAATTATTTTTCTAGTTTGTGTGTGGGTGTAGACAGAAAAGCAGAGCATAGGATATATCTAGGAAGTATAAACAGAAAGTCTGACTTGCCTTTTTTTTTTATATTCCATCTCCCTACAGTTTCTTTGGAGAAGAGAAACCTTAAGATGGCAGGCAAAGGAAGTAACACAGACTGCACGTCATGCAGCGTACTGAACTGGGAGCAGGTGAGCCGTCTGCATGAGGTTCTTACAGAGGTAGTTCCAATCCATGGACGAGGTAACTTCCCAACGCTGAAGATTACTCTGAAGGACATTGTTCAGACTGTTCGGAGTAGGCTGACTGAAGCAGGCATTGTGGTACATGATGTCCGTCTGAATGGCTCTGCAGCTGGTCATGTCCTGGTCAAGGATAACGGGTTGGGATGCAAAGACCTGGATCTCATTTTTCAAGTTTCTCTTCCAAGTGAGGCAGAGTTTCAGTTAGTTCGAGATGTGGTGTTGCGATCCCTCTTGAATTTCTTGCCAGAAGGAGTAAGCAAGCTAAAAATCAGTCCAGTAACACTGAAGGAAGCCTACATCCAGAAGCTAGTCAAAGTGTACACAGAGTCTGACCGTTGGAGCTTGATATCACTTTCCAACAAACATGGCAGGAATGTGGAGCTGAAGTTTGTAGACTGCATACGACGGCAGTTTGAGTTCAGTGTGGACTCCTTCCAAATCATACTGGACTCCCTACTCTTTTACTATGACTACTCGGAAACCCCCATGTCAGAGCACTTCCATCCAACTGTGATTGGGGAGAGCATGTATGGAGATTTTGAAGCAGCTTTTGATCACCTCCAGAACAAACTGATAGCTACCAAAAATCCTGAAGAGATCCGAGGTGGTGGCCTTCTGAAGTATAGTAACCTCTTAGTACGAGATTTCAGGCCCATGGATAAGGATGAGATCAAAACATTAGAGCGCTACATGTGCTCCCGGTTCTTCATAGACTTTCCAGACATCCTGGATCAGCAGCGCAAACTAGAAACCTACCTCCAGAACCACTTCTCCAAAGAAGAGAGGAGCAAGTATGACTACCTCATGATTCTGCGCAGGGTGGTGAATGAGAGCACAGTCTGTCTCATGGGACACGAGCGAAGGCAGACTCTCAACTTGATTTCTCTGCTGGCACTCAAAGTGCTAGCGGAACAAAACATCATCCCTAATGCCACTAATGTTACCTGTTACTACCAGCCAGCACCTTATGTTAGTGATGTAAACTTCAGCAACTACTATCTTGCAAATGCTCCTGTGCCATACAGCCAGTCCTACCCCACCTGGTTGCCTTGCAATTGATTGCTTCACTTGAGTGTTCTTGAATGGAGGCTACTGAAGGCCAAGATGCTGTGTATATAGACAAGTAATAACTGTCAGTTGGAGATTTTTCTAATAGAAACATGACTGCATTGGATTGTCCATTTCCTGGTGTGCGGTAGGAATATGCAGCCAGGTGACCTGCTATGGACCTTTCCATATATCTCTACAAATGCCAAGAAGCCTTATTACCTCTTCATTAGGAGAAGAGAACCAGCAGTCAAATGTTAGGAGAAGTAGCTACAAAACTGTACTAGTTCTGGAAGTGGCTATTAACATGTGATCTAAGTGGAGTATTCTCTTGCTTTCGATTGCCTAACCTCACTACTCTATACTTCCTCAGTTCAAGTTCTGGCCAACTTTCTACTGAACTAATTGTGCAAGAGTGGGCTCATGCTTGAGCTCCTTCTACTTTCCGTCTGTGTAGAACTGGTAACTGTATGCATAGTGTCTGTATTGTAGAGGGCCTAGATGTTGTTTCCTATTGTACCTAGGGCTATAAGGTCCTGCCTCAAGTTCAAGATTAATTTCTTGGAAGTTGAAGATGGATTAGTAAGTCTATCTCCAAAGCATAAGCTGGATAAATTTTTCTTCAGTACAGAAATTTGGAAGGTGGCATCTCTGAACATGCACCAAAACACGATCTAAAACTTGCTAATGTGAAAAGTCCTTGAAATGAGGAGTTGAAGCCTTAAATAGAATTGGAACCATAGTTTGAATTGCTAGGATGGAAAAACACTGTTAAGTCCAGGCTCGAGATAAAATCTTTTTGACTGCATCTTTCAAAATATTTATTGGCACAATTGGAAAGTAGTGCAGCTCTTACACTGAGGTTTGGCCCAACCTTCTTCCTCACAGGTCCACTGCAAGCAAAAAAATCCAACCAAACAAAAAAACCCCCAAAACTCCCACTGAAAGTTGCAGGATGATGTGCACTTCTGCCACAGTATGAATTTCTGAAGTACCTCGTAAAATAAATTTCTTCTTGTACAACTTCACACAGGTCCTGAAGGCTTGTCCTTCTGTCACCACTTAAGGTTTGAGTTTACTAGTTTGTCACTATCACCTGGTCACTGTATGAGATGGTATTTGGAGTGGTTGGAGTTAAAAACTTCCTCTTTACTGGTCTTAACTCTCACTTAAAGAGGTATATTAACCCTAAGCAGAGCTCTCCCCAGAGGCTGTATATGGTGCAAGTCTGTGCCTGTTTTCAGAATAGCCTCTGGAGGAGTGTGTACTGCCTTGGAGGTGTAGGGGGCTGACCTTCCTAAAGGGTATGTGCTGAACTTGCTGCTTTGAAATGCCTGTGCTTTATAAGGAAGGTTAAAAATTCTTCAGTTATGTATATAGCGTTCCTAGTATGTTAACTGGATGACTTTCACTGAATTGCAATAGTGAAATGCATGTATAGGAAATGATCTTGAGTTTCCTTCACTTTAATAAGAGAAGTAGACTAGAAAGGCAAATCTTAGAGCTATTTAATATGTACTGGTGCAATGTTTAAGAATATTTGTTAGATAAACCTTTTTTTATAACTTCTAGCCCTCTCTGTAAGCTTGTGAGACCAAAGTGCCTGATCAAACAAATGATCTAAGCTTAAAAGGTAAAGCAGAAAGCAGGCAAAACAAGTGTATGGTTGCCATTCAAGGTGGAAAGCAGCAGCAGTGCAGCACTTAAATGGCAGTAAAAAACTACCTGTTCCTCATAGGAGTAAAAACTCGCAGTTACATTGCAAGTTTTCTCACTTTTCATAACTACTTCATAAAGACTCCCTCAGTAGAGCATCAAGGCTACTCTTTTCATTCAGACTTCTTCATTTAGCTTAGGAAGGCAGGGATACAATCTAGAAAGCAGACTGTTGCCAAGCATGCTTTAGCTTAATTTTTTGAACAGTCTTGTAAGCAACTTCAGTACCAAATAGACAAATAATTTGGTGTCTTCTGTTGTCTTCCTGAGTAGTCAGCCTAAGGAGCTAAACCCAGCCTTTTTTGTTAACTGTGGCTTGGACTTGATGCAGTTTATAGACAAGGCATCTCTCACCCAAGACTTTGACTATTTGGAAGGCTTTTTAAAAACTATCATGATGCCAGTGTTATCATGGGTGTTAAACTTAGTGCAGGCTTACTGCTGGAATGCAAACCTAGGCATGAATAACTTCTGCATGCAAGGCAACACTTGGTCTAGTATAGAGTGTCACTAGGAAGAAGGAAGTCTTTTGCTCAGGAGTTTGTAATTGCTATCATCTCTTAAATAGATGTGTTAAAGCCAATTTAAGCTATACCCATTGCAGAAGTAAACCGTTGCCTGGAGGGACATGTTTGATTTGTGTATCAAATAGCTTAGACTCGGATCTGTCTTGTGTGATCTCATGGCTGTTCTTTAGAAACTGTTCCTATGCATCAGCTCGTGGAAGAAGTGGTCAGATGCTCAGGAGCTCTCACAAGCTTGAAACGGACAGACGTATGCTTTACTAGTCTTTGAATGCCTTGGCTGCTGAACATCAGGCCAGGTGCACCTACTGGAAAAGGAAGTGCTAGAAAAAGGTTCTAATAGATTCCTACTGAGACAGGGCTATGGAGAAGTTAAGCCTCCTGCCGTAAATATTGTGCTTTTGCTAATGTAAATTGTTGCTGAGGCCTGTAAGGATGCTTTATGTTGAATGGCTGACTTCTGAACAGCTGACTTCCTGAGTTTAAGCTTTGTAGGACTGCTGTGTTCCCTGTCTCTTAAATTGCTCTGGCATGTTAGAAATATAGATGCTTTGTAGCCTGGCTGCTAGATGTTAAGCTCTTGAATAGTTAAACTGTATCCTGAAGCTGCGTGCTACCTACTGCATTGGCCCTACAGTAAATGGGATTGCTAGGACCACTGTTCGTCTCATTGCCTTCAAAATAATCCTGACTTGGCAGGTAAAGCTGGAATACTCAGTAGCTTTTCATCACTGTGTTGCAAGCAGTCTACCCTTTTCTGTTTCAAGTTGTTCTAGCAGTCTGTTGTGTGTTGCAATGGCTGAAGTTGGTGTGTGCTAGCTGTTTTGAGTTCAGCTTTCTGGTGGTCCCTGTAGCAAGAAGTAACATGAGGATGAGAGCCAGGTAAAAGTTAAAAGGTGATGACCCTAAGCCAAGTCTACGCTGCCTGCTTGATTCAGTCTTCCTTCAGTTCTTAGTGATGCCTCTGTAAACTTGCTCTATCCTCTGTTGCTCACTTGTGTGTCAAGTGGGGGTTAGAGAAAGACTACTATACTTGACCATTACCCTAACACATTCTCTGAGAAATTGCATCAAAACAAAGCAACAGTAACACTAGACTGCAAGTCTTGTATCAGTGCATCATTACTCAGGACTAGGCTTCTAGTAAACTTTGTTTTAAAATAGCTGTTTTCTTCCTATAGCTTATAAGCTCTGCTGAGCTAAGACAGCCTGAGGCTAAGCATTCTGTTGTCAATATTTATTGCCAAGTCCCCCTTGACTGACAGTTTATTGGTGGGACTTCCTCATAGTAAGATATATATTTTTTTATTTGATAAAGATGCTACCAATGAGACTAGTAGTAGACTGGGTTTTAGGCACTCTGGTAAAATCCTTGTGCTGATCTGCGGTCACTCTGAAAAGTTGTAAGGTAAAGCCTATTTTATGCTCTCTTAGCTCAAGATTTAACTGTTGCTGTGTTTGTCCTCAGCTAGTTCAGTCAATTACTAAGCTGGAGGTTGAGGACTACTGCTTGCTTTTGAGTATTCATTTTTCAAAAGATCCTCACACTTTAATGTTAATAATCTTGACTACAAAGCAGTAGGTAGTATTTAAATCTAGTCCAAATACCTAGAGCTTTATATTGAAACTTAAAGGCCTGTATTTTGGGATTGAGTTCTGGGGTTAAGCATTTGGCATGTTTTGTGCCTAGGCTTTGTGGGTTTCTGATCACCCAGCAGAATAACTGCTTGGTAGTGATCTCTGCTTGTCACTATATGAGTGCTTGGGAAAAGGCCTCTTATTAGAACTTGGACAATAGCTTCAATTGTAAGCTGTCAGTGTACTGATGGTACTTGTTTACTATCCTTCTCACTCAACTCATTGAATCAGGGTGCCATAATTGTTAGGCACAGGAATAAGCAATAAGTTGACCATAGTCACTGGCAGCTTGGTCTAATTTGGGCACTGGAAGAGCCAAATGGATAGTAATATTTCTAGCCTTTGCATTTAAGCCTTACTCAACCATTTGTTAAATATGGTAAAGTGTATTTCTTATATGTTCTTTAATTTCAATGAAACTAGTTATAAGGTGGGATGCTAGGCGATAGCTATAGAAACCTTGGGGGGAATGGTTGGAGCACTCTGTTTGTTCTTACTCATATTGGAAGAGAAGGCCAGTCGCTGAAGTGTCTGGATTGGGCTTCTCTCTTTCCAATTAAATATGCACTTTCTGTTGAAATTTAGAAGGCCTTTTTTCTGTGTTTATATCTTATTATTTTTTACTATTAAAAGATGTCAGCTCCTGGAAAATCTCTCATACCTTTTTAGAAGAAATGAGTTGTGTTTTTTTTTTTTAAGCTGGCAAAACAAGGTACTAGAAATACTTGTATTTGTGATGAGCCCAAATGTGAGATTGGTCACAGTAACTTTGTCTACTGTTCTGCACTGTGGTGTTCACTTTTCATTCTTGGATACTGTGTTTTGGACCTTAATGATTCTGAAATTCTTGTGCAAATAAACTTCTGCTAAACATTGCTTGCTTCAAGTAGTTCTTGCATCTGAATAGTGCTGACAAGTATTTGTGGAGCTTGTTGGCCAATGTGTGTGTAGATACAGAGGGGGGAGAAATAGGGATGGGGTACACAGTAATGCTTAGCTTTAAGTGTTATTCAAGGTACTCTTTTTTTTTTTCTTATATCTGCCTACACATCTGCCTCAACTTACTGAAGATTAGTCAGTTAAATGAGAAATTATTTATCTGGTCTCAACTTGACTTCAAAACATGTTGAGGCACAGTCCTAGGCCTGTTAGATAGTATCTGGTCTGAGCTGGAGCCTGCCAGTCTCTTCTGGGATGCACTCTATTTTACATGCTACTCCAAGTCAGGGGCCCCTGCTTACCTCAACTTGTGAGCCAAGGAGGTGAGAAACAAAGTCATCAATTGCTCTTCAGGTTGAAAGTTTTTGTGCTTTCATTCTGTCCTAAAAGCTGTTGCTTCTATATCCCAGTGGTCAATGGGGGTTGAGCATGTCAAAGCCAAATAAAAGATAGGGGCATGTGGCAGTCTACTTGCTGCTCTTCCTGCTCTAGGATCAGAAATGAAT